GATAATATGAGCGAAATCGTAATTTAGCCATGCTGCCACTCTTTTCTAGTGTAACAGTATTCCATTTGGCTCGATATTATGACAATGCAGCAACAGTTATTTAATATAAACACATCGTCTTTCCATACGACTTTTGTGTACGTCTTTTTCCATTGATAACCACGATATCTTTTATTTTCTCTTATCTTGTCAAAATTACAACAAACACGTCGCTACTGACAACACCTTGGTATTACTCCACCATGACTGCACCTTCTTTCGGTTTAGTTTATTTGATTAAAATCTAATTTTGTATCTGCAGGCAAATGCCAGAAAAGTGCAAGTTCCTGAACAGGTAGGTACATGGCAGAGGGGTCACACATACTACGCAGTTGAAATTTCAGAAGCTAAAATCTCTTCCAAAAGGCTTTTCTGAAAGTTATTCCTTTCTCCTTCCTTTTTTGTACGGAGTGGCACAAATTGAAGGGCTTCTGCTTTCGCTACTCAAACAAAAGCATCCAGAGGGGCTTTTGTAGGACGCACTTCTGGAGGCCTTTTGAAGAAGTTCTTCTAAAGCTGGTTTTAGTTAAAAAAAATCATACTTCTTTAAAGAACTTAAATATTTAAGGTTCAGATCAAATATATTTTATTGAGATTTAAAATGCTAATTGAATCCTATTTGTAATGCTAAGTAATCTTATCTTACTAATATTATAAATGTGAAAGTTTGTATGTTTGGATGTTTGGGAAATCATCACGCGGAAACGACTGAACGGATTTGCATGAAATTTTGTAAGCAGATAGCTTATGGGCGAGATTGGTTAATAGGCTATTTCCTTTATGAGTTGCCACCTGTTAAAAAAGTTTAATTTATTTAATATGCGGGAACGACAGAATGGATTTGCACGAAAATTTGCACACACATAGCTTATGACCTAGATTGGGAAATAGGCTACTTTTCTTAAGAGTTGCCACCTGTTAAAAAGTTTCATTAAATTAATACGCGGAAACGACTGAATGGATTTGCATGAAATTTTGCAAGCAGATATCTTATGGCCTACAGTGGGAAACAGGCTAATTTTTTGGAAGAGTTGCCACCTGTTAGAAATGTTTAATTTAATTAATACGCGGAAATTAATGAACTGATTTGCATGGAAGTTTTCACACAGATAGCTTATGAGCTAAGTTGGAAAATAGGCTACTTTTTTTAAGAGTTACCACCTGCTAAAAAAGTTAAATTAAATTAATACGCGGAAAAGTCTGAACGGATTTGCATAAAATTTTGCAAGCAGCTAGCTTATGAGCTACAGTGGAAAATAGGCTAATTTTAGGGAAGAGCTGCCACCTGTTAAAAAAGTTTTAATTAAATTAATACGCGGAAACGACTGAACAGATTTGCATGACATTTCGCACAGATAGCTTATGACGTATGTTGGAAAATGGGCTACTATTTTAAGAGTTATCACGTATTAGGAAAGATTAATTAAATTAATACGTGTAAATGACTGAACTGATTTGCATGAAATTTTGCACACAGATAGCTTATGACCTAGACTGGAAAATAGGCTAATTTTTTAAGAATTGCCACCTGTTTGAAAATGAAATTTTGCTCAAAGATGGTTTTTGACCTGGATTGAAAAATAGGCTATTTCCTTAACCAGTTTTCCGATCAGAACGAAATTTAGACTGAAAGTAAGTCCGGTAACTTAAGGCCCCTCCCATACAAATTGGATATTTCATATTACATACATATCTCTGGATGTATTTGTGGGGGAGAACTGAAACTTGGTATAGTGATATGTATGTGAAATCAATGTTGGCATTAATCGATTGATGTTTTAATCAGTTAGTTAATTCGATTAAATTCAATCTGATTACATCTGNGCTATTTCCTTAACCAGTTTTCCGATCAGAACGAAATTTAGACTGAAAGTAAGTCCGGTAACTTAAGGCCCCTCCCATACAAATTGGATATTTCATATTACATACATATCTCTGGATGTATTTGTGGGGGAGAACTGAAACTTGGTATAGTGATATGTATGTGAAATCAATGTTGGCTGGAAACTTTTACAAACCAAGTTTGTAAAACGTTTGTTGGTATATATCTTAATGAAAATGCACACCGAATTGCTTAGATTGATGAGGAAACCCGACTTAGCCATTCCGGATTAACTTGCTTTGTGTGCACAGGGAAATTCCAGCATAACTTAATTAATCACCAAACCTACTTGATCAAATTAAGAGTTAATGATTAAAAATTAATTTTTTAATCGCGGTTACGATTAACTGTTTAGGCAGATTAAAATTAATCATGATCAGATGTAATCAGATTGAATTTAATCGAATTAACTAACTGATTAAAACATCAATCGATTAATGCCAACATTGATTTCACATACATATCACTATACCAAGTTTCAGTTCTCCCCCACAAATACATCCAGAGATATGTATGTAATATGAAATATCCAATTTGTATGGGAGGGGCCTTAAGTTACCGGACTTACTTTCAGTCTAAATTTCGTTCTGATCGGAAAACTGGTTAAGGAAATAGCCTATTTTTCAATCCAGGTCAAAAACCATCTTTGAGCAAAATTTCATTTTCAAACAGGTGGCAATTCTTAAAAAATTAGCCTATTTTCCAGTCTAGGTCATAAGCTATCTGTGTGCAAAATTTCATGCAAATCAGTTCAGTCATTTACACGTATTAATTTAATTAATCTTTCCTAATACGTGATAACTCTTAAAATAGTAGCCCATTTTCCAACATACGTCATAAGCTATCTGTGCGAAATGTCATGCAAATCTGTTCAGTCGTTTCCGCGTATTAATTTAATTAAAACTTTTTTAACAGGTGGCAGCTCTTCCCTAAAATTAGCCTATTTTCCACTGTAGCTCATAAGCTAGCTGCTTGCAAAATTTTATGCAAATCCGTTCAGACTTTTCCGCGTATTAATTTAATTTAACTTTTTTAGCAGGTGGTAACTCTTAAAAAAAGTAGCCTATTTTCCAACTTAGCTCATAAGCTATCTGTGTGAAAACTTCCATGCAAATCAGTTCATTAATTTCCGCGTATTAATTAAATTAAACATTTCTAACAGGTGGCAACTCTTCCAAAAAATTAGCCTGTTTCCCACTGTAGGCCATAAGATATCTGCTTGCAAAATTTCATGCAAATCCATTCAGTCGTTTCCGCGTATTAATTTAATGAAACTTTTTAACAGGTGGCAACTCTTAAGAAAAGTAGCCTATTTCCCAATCTAGGTCATAAGCTATGTGTGTGCAAATTTTCGTGCAAATCCATTCTGTCGTTCCCGCATATTAAATAAATTAAACTTTTTTAACAGGTGGCAACTCATAAAGGAAATAGCCTATTAACCAATCTCGCCCATAAGCTATCTGCTTACAAAATTTCATGCAAATCCGTTCAGTCGTTTCCGCGTGATGATTTCCCAAACATCCAAACATACAAACTTTCACATTTATAATATTAGTAAGATAAGATTACTTAGCATTACAAATAGGATTCAATTAGCATTTTAAATCTCAATAAAATATATTTGATCTGAACCTTAAATATTTAAGTTCTTTAAAGAAGTATGATTTTTTTTAACTAAAACCAGCTTTAGAAGAACTTCTTCAAAAGGCCTCCAGAAGTGCGTCCTACAAAAGCCCCTCTGGATGCTTTTGTTTGAGTAGCGAAAGCAGAAGCCCTTCAATTTGTGCCACTCCGTACAAAAAAGGAAGGAGAAAGGAATAACTTTCAGAAAAGCCTTTTGGAAGAGATTTTAGCTTCTGAAATTTCAACTGCGTAGTATGTGTGACCCCTCTGCCATGTACCTACCTGTTCAGGAACTTGCACTTTTCTGGCATTTGCCTGCAGATACAAAATTAGATTTTAATCAAATAAACTAAACCGAAAGAAGGTGCAGTCATGGTGGAGTAATACCAAGGTGTTGTCAGTAGCGACGTGTTTGTTGTAATTTTGACAAGATAAGAGAAAATAAAAGATATCGTGGTTATCAATGGAAAAAGACGTACACAAAAGTCGTATGGAAAGACGATGTGTTTATATTAAATAACTGTTGCTGCATTGTCATAATATCGAGCCAAATGGAATACTGTTACACTAGAAAAGAGTGGCAGCATGGCTAAATTACGATTTCGCTCATATTATCTATATTTATGTGTTTTAATCTATTTAAAAAATCATTTACAGTCTTATAGAAAATTGCCTTATTTTACTGCATTTACTTTTTTAAGTTACACTATATGTCCAAGCTGTGTGCAGCTGCCGATACAAACATATATTCAGGCTTATGAGCCTGTAATTATACATTTTTCTACATTTAATTGGAAATAGTATGCACCAACGGATTAAAAGTAGTACAATACTACTACCTTTTCTACTACTTTAAAATGCGTGACCGGAATAGACCTATCGAAAAAGTGAGGTGAAGGTACTGACACACCTTGTTATTATTAAACCATGAGGTACAGTGATGGACAAAAGTCTACATACACCGCCTCTTTTCGTTGATTTGAAAGTACAAAAACTCTGTTGGAAAATGTGTTGATAAAGTTTTATTTGAAACCTTTTTCTAACCACAATAAACTAAAAAAAAATCCATTCTTTAACATAAAATAACAAAGCTATGGGGGAAAAACGCTAAATCAGCGATGACAAAAGTCTACACACAGTACACAAATAACTTACTTTAGCGCGAAAACTATACTTTATCCTAGAAATTATTGCTTTTTAGTATTTAGTTGGTCTACCGTTAGCATCAATAACCGCTTGAAGCCGTCGTGGCATCGAGGCTAATAAATTTGTCAAGTCTGCAGAAGTTATACTGTCCCAAGTTTCTATTATGCGCTCTTTGAGTATAGCAGCGCTAGAAACCTGGTTTTTTCTAATTTTGCGTTCCAAAATTTGCCAGAGATGCTCAATAATATTTAAATTTGGGCTTTGCGGTGGTGTGTTCAATTGCCTTGGACCTTGGTGAAGCAGCCAATCCTTAACAATGTGTGCCGTGTGCTTTGGACTCATTATCTTGTTGAAAGATCCAACTTGCACCAAGCTCCAAATTATCTACCGAAGGTTTCAAATTATGTTCCAGTAAAGATTTGTATTGATAACGATCCATATTACCCTCTATAAATACTATTCTTCCAACTCCAGATGCCGCTACAGCTCCCCAATCCATTACGTTGCCACCATGCTTCACAGTTGATACTAAATTCTTCGGATTAAGTGCAGTATTTTTTTCCTCTAAACTTTTGCCCTTCCATCGCTGCCGAATATATTGAACTTTGACTCATCTGTAAACTAAACTTTTTGCCAAAAATCCATCCACTTTTCTTTATGTGATTTGGCCAACTCCAAGCGAAGTTTACGGTTTTCTACTGTGGAAACCGTTATTGTTCAGAGTTCTTCGAACAACACTTGTTTGATGCACTCGATATATGTTCGGCTATTTTTGGAGCAGTAACTTTTGGATTTTTGTCCACTTCTTTGAGAAGTAAGCTGATGTCTCTGTGAGATAGTTTCCTCGGGTGGCCACTACGCGACTTATTTTCGATAGAACCATTATTTTCAAAGTTTTTTACAATGGCCTGTACTGTTGGTCGACTTAAGTCTAAAATTCTTGAAATTTCACCATATGATTTGTTTTCTTTTCTGTGCTGTATAACCAATATTAGCAAAGCAGAAAACATAATAAAAGGAAAAAAAACCAACGGTAGTCTACCGTTAACCCAACCCAGCATACCAGTGTACAAGCTATGAACTTCGCTCTGTATGTACACTTTTTTTAACGCTGTTTCCCCGTTTTTTCACCATAACTTTTTTATTTTATGTATAAGAATGGATTTTTTTTTAGTTTATTGTGACTAGAAAATCTTGCAATATTCTGTGTACTTTTAAATCTACGAAAAGAGGGGGTGTATGTAGACTTTTGTCCATCACTGTATGTAAACTCACTAGATATTGTTCAACATATTAGGAAAGTGTTTCATTAGGTGCGTTCGTTTAAAATCTCCAGTAAAAACCAACCAACTGCCAAATTCCGGCGAAATGTCATCTGTTCTCTCACAAGAGAAAAATATCCCAAATAGTACGCGAACAGAAAATTTGCAGAAACTTGCAAATTAGATGAACAGCTGATATAATTTTTGTTTACATTCAAAAGTGTAAAATTTAAAACGTACGAAAAGCCATCACAAAGTGTTATACTCACACAGTTTATTGATTAAACAAATAACTACTTATTTCTTACAAGTTTAATTAGTCGCATTTTGTAATTTTTAACTTCCAAACCATCAAATTCAATTTTGTGATTTGCGTAAATGCCAACCAGCTGTTTTTGATCAGCTGTTTTCCTGTTGGCAAATTGCTGTTGGAAAAAATTTTTCCAGCAGAAACCAACAGCTTCCCCTCAAAATGAAATGTCACTTTGCTCTCTCAATTTCCCCTACTTTGCAAGTTTTTTGCGTACGCGAACCTGTAAGTTTTGGTTAAACTTGAACAATTAACAGCTACGCGAACGCACCTATTATCGATTTTCGACTACTAATGACAGAAAGCCTAACCTTGTTTTTTAAAGCAAAAATCTGCTAAAAATTAGATGGGTTTCTGCATTGACCTTCATTAAAAAAACAGGACAATTTAAGTGTGGACCAGGACACGAGGACAATTTGTTTAAATCAGGACAAATCCAGGAAAATCAGGACGTCTGGCAGCCCTATACTAAGCTGATAATGATACACACGAAAATAAAGTGAGGACTATGATAATCATTTTTCTTAACAAAACCATTTTTCTTAACAATTCTTCAACATAAATTTTATGCGCAGCGAATTTTTATATCCCGAACAACATAGCACGCATAATATCCAGCGGCGTAGATATTACTGTTCGATCAGGATTAAAGTCTTAAATCTAAAACTAACAAAACAAAGTCAAATAAATTTAAATATCCTTTTTTTAAATGGACTAAAATAAAGAAAATAATTTTTTTCTATTTATACTTATAGAATTCGTCTTGATAAAAAATTCGATTTTAAAATTTTTACAATAGTCATTGGCTGCGTTTCTTTATACATTCCAGATAATCCCATTTCACAGCCAGAATATACAGAATGCGTTTGAAATATACGTTAGCATATCATCGAGAACGTTCTGAAGAATAAG